GTATTTTTCTCTAGAATCTGCACAGATTTCCAAGGAGATTAGCATCTGGGAGAAGAGACTAGAGAAATACTCAGGTTTCATCTAAATACACAATGTCCTCCCAACCCCATCGGGATCATATGCCATGTTTGTGAAACTGGTGTGTGACACAGGCGGGTTTGTGGCGACAGCAGAAGGAAACCTCCTCTTTATTCTCCAGGGAACGTTCAACACTAGCACTGCTGGGTGGGGTGGGGGCTGGTTTGCCCCGAGTCCTAAGATGAAATCTCTGGCAGCCATGTGACCTTCCAGCGGCTCTTGGATAAGAAAAGTCCTCCACTCACTTCAAGTCCACAGTGCTCAGTTTGTGATAGGGATTCCTTGAAGTGAAAGTTCTTCCCAGCAAGAAGCTTTCCTGTCTGCCAGCCTCCCTCCCACTCCCCAGGCTGGCTGGGCTCCTGGAGGGTGAAGCCAGAGGAGGGGCGGCACCCATGTGCCCCCACTGTGGTTTCCCTTGGCTGTGTAAATGTTTCAAGTGAATGTTTCTCCCATGAGGGGCTGTAGGGTTCTCTGGAGATTTCCTGGAAGCTGGGGTGTTGCTCACTTGGGGTGGGTGAGGACATCGTCAGCGAGTGCTTTGGTTCCTGGCTCAGCCTTTTCTCCTGGTGGCCCACTGGGCGGTTCCTTCTCAGGGACCATATTGGGTCCCTGGGAAATACTCATGTAGCCTTTGTCCCAGGGGGTGGAACTCTCCCCAGGGAAGCCACCTGCAATGGTGCAATCTTGGCTCACTGCAACCTCTGCCTCCTGGGTTCAAGCCATCTTTATGCCTCAGCCTTCCTAGTAGTTGGGATTACAGGCATGCACCATCGTGCTCAACAAATTTTTGTATTTTTGTAGAGATGGGGTTTCTCTATGTTGGCCAGGCTGGTCTTGAACTCTTGAGTTCAAGCAATCTTCCTCCCTGGGCCTCCTGAAGTGCTGGGATTACAAGTGTGAACCACTGCGCCTGGCTGGACCTTTCCTTGTTTTGACTTCAGGGCTTCTTGCTTTTAGGATTTCTCAGGCAGGTGACAGACACTAGTTGTCAGGTCCCCAAGCTCTTGGGTACCTCCGACAGCTCTCCAAAGGGTGTCCTTGAAGTTCTTCTTGCTAGGCCCCCCTTCTCTCATCCACGGCAGGGACGGGATGGGGAGGAAAAGTGCCCTAGTATCCAAGTGCTCTCTCAAAAGAAGTCGTCTCTCAGCCGGGCGTGGTGTAATCTTGGGAAGCCAAGACAGGCGGATCACCTGAGATCAGGAGTTCAAGACCAGCCTGGCCAACCTGGTGAAACCCCGTTTCTACTAAAAATACAAAAAAATTAGCCAGGTGTGGTGGCAGTGCCTGTAATCCCAGTTACTCAGGAGGCTGAGGCAGGAGAATTGCTTGAACCAGGGAGTTGGAGGTTGCAGTGAGCCGAGATTGTACCACTGCACTCAAGCCTGAGTGACAAGAGCAAGACTCCGTCTCAAAAAAAAAAAATTCTAACCTCCCTTGGCCTTGCCATCCTCTGCCCTGGGGGTGGTCACAGGTTCCCAGAAGCCTCTGCAGGCCCCGGTGAGCTGCTTCAGCACGTCACTTTGGAACATTGGAGTTGTTGCCACTTACTGATTTGTTTTCTGTCTCAGGAGTTTTGCCAGAATTGAAACAGAATTTTTTTTTGGATGGGAGGACAGAGTCTTGCTCTGTTGCCCAGGCTGGAGTGCAGTGGCTCGATCTCAGCTCACTATAACCTCCGCCTCCTGGGTTCAAGCAATTTGCCTGCCTCAGCCTCCCGAGTAGCTGAGATTACAGGCATGTGCCACCACACTTGGCTCATTTTTTGTATTTTTAGTAGAGAGAGAGTTTTGCCATGTTGCCCAGGCTGGTCTTGAACTCCTGACCTTGGATGATTCACCTGCTTTGGCCTCCCAAAGAGCTGGGATTACAGGCGTGAGCCGCTGTACTCAGCCAAAACAGAATCACTTTTAACATCTTGTTCTGTTTCTATTTGCTGAAGATAGTAGGACTAGCAAATGGTTTTAATAACATGGCTGGTCTTCTTTGGTTTGTTAATGTTCTAGGCATTTCCAGTGTCCTACTGCAGTTACACCTTGGGAACAGAAGGCTGGCCAGTGGGAGCAGCCCTGTGTACTAGGCTACTAGTGTCTTCAAAGAGTTGCCGATCACCTCATGATCATAAATGGCTGCTGCTGCTCCAGGAATCACACCCAGAGTCAAGGTAGGAAGAAGCGGGAGGGGCATTTCCAGTCCTATCTGTCTTTATAGAAGAAAAGCAAGACTTCTAGAGGGCCTCCAGGAGGCATGCACGTGTGTGTCCTTTGGTAGAACTGGGCCAGGTGCATCTGGCTTTCTTAGCCTCCTGAGTGGAGATGGCGAGCGAGGAGGGGGTTAGGGACAGTGACGTGTTAGTGAAGCTACAGCATCAGCATCAATGGACAGCTCACATGAACCAAGGTGCTGGCTGTTCCCCAGGAATGCCTTTCCCGTCCTCCTCCTCCTCATTACCAAATACTATGAATGGACTCACACAAATGACACCGCGGAGGTAACACTTTGAATACAGGAAATCAGGCTCCATTCTCAATGGGCTCATGGTAATTCCAGTAGAGTCCCTACACAGACATTTACGCAAACACCGCACTCTTTACTACTGTGGTCCATCTCATTGAAGTGGAATTTGAACCTTGGTTCGGGAAAATTGAGATGTTACAAAGTGAGTTGAGTTTGTAACGTCTGGGATGCACCTCAAGGCTTGAAAACGTGTCTCGGTCAGGGGCGGTGGCTCATGTCTATAATTCCAGCACTTTGGGAGGCCAAGGTGGGTGGATCACCTGAGGTCAGGAGTTCAAGACCAGCCTGGCCAACATGGTGAAACCAAAAATATTTTTAAAAATTAGCCGGGTATGGTGGCACGTGCCTGTAATCCCAGCTACTTGGGAGGCTGAGGCAGGAGAACTGCTTGAACCCAGGAGGCAGAGATTGCAGTGAGCCAAAATTGTGCCACTGCACTTCAGCCTGGGTGACAGAGCAAGACTCTGTCTCTGAAAAAAAAAAAAAAGAAAAAGAAAAAAGAAAACGTGCCCCAAACCATCAGGACTGAAGTAGGGGGATCGCTATAACACTTCATCAAAAATTAGCTGCAGCTTTAATGTTTCTCTTTTATGGAAATTTAGCTTCATTTGTATTTGCTTGTGTGTAGACCTTTTCTAGAGAAAATTCCTGTGTGAACTGTAGGTAAATTCTGGTCTAAAGTTATTTTTTGAGTCAGATTTCTCTCAGAACTCAAAGAATTCCTTGAAAGTAGTTTGGGTGCACTTTCTGTCTAGTTCTGTGCCTTTTCTTTCCCCTTTATTTTTACATTTCTATTTATTTATTTATTTATTTATTTTTATTCTTATATTTGAGACAGAGTTTTGCTCTGTTGCCCAGGCTGGAGTGCAGTGGTGTGATCTCGGCTTGTTGCAACCTCCATCTCCCAGGTTCAAGTGATTCTCCTGCCTCAGCCTCCTGAGTTGCTGAGATTAGAGGCACCTGCCACTGTGCCTGGCTAATTTTTGTATTTTCAGTAGATGGGTTTCACCACATTGCCCAGGCTGATCTGGAACTCCTGACCTCAAGTGATCTGCCCACCCCCAGAGTGGACTGGATGACCCAGAGGCTCTCTGCAGTCAGAGGAATCCCAGAGGGGAGAATAGGCCGAGTTCCTTCCCCACAGCCCCACTGGATAAGTGGCTTCTCCTTCCTAAGGACAGCAGGAGGTGACAGGAGAAAGGAGGTGTTGAGAATGGGGGGTAGAGAGGCCTTTGACATGGTGGCCTTTCGGGTGGAGAAGTGTCCTCCCCTCCCCACAGATGTAAACATAAAGCTTTACAGAGGGAAGCCAGTAGGTTACATTCCGATTTGCAGTAGAGCAAACTCGGGGGACGATAGACCCTTCCGTTCTTCCTGTGGCTGTCACAGCACTGACCTAGCTGCCGTGGGTCAATCAGGGTGGCTCTGTGCCTCAGTTTGCTTATTGCAACCTGAAGGTTAATAATAGCCTTAGTATTGATAAGGATGACATACAGTTGTTCTATAGTTGTTCTATTTAAGCCATTTTTTTCTCTTTTTTGAGTCTTGCTCTATTGCCCAGGCTCAGCGTGATCTCAACTCATTGCAACCTCTGCCTCCTGGATTTAAGTGATTCTCCTGCCTCAGCCTCCTGAGTAACTGGGATTACAGGCACCCACCACCATGCCCAGCTAACTTTTGTATTTTTAGTAGAGACGGGGTTTGCCATGTCAGCCAGGCTGGTCTCAAACTCCTGACCTCAGGTGATCCACCTGCCTCAGCCTCCCAAAGTGCTGGGGTGACAGGCATGAGCCACTGCACCCAGCCCCTTCTGTTCTTCCTGTGGCTCTCCCATCACTGACCTATCTGCTGTTGTAAATCAGGGTCACTCTGTGCCTCAGTTTACTTATTACAACCAGAAGGATAATAATAGGCTCAGTATTGATAGGGTTGATATATATATTTGTTCTAGTTAAGCCACATATTTATTATATTGTAGGTTTAATTATAATACTAGTTATGTCACCCATGGAAGAGTCTGTCTTTTTTTTTTTTTTTTTCCGAGATGGAGTTTCGCTCTTGTTACCCAGGCTGGAGTGCAATGGTGCGATCTCGGCTCACCGCAACCTCTGCCTCCTGGGTTCAGGCAATTCTCCTGCCTCAGCCTCCTGAGTAGCTGGGATTACAGGCGTGCGCCACCATGTCCAGCTATTTTTTTGTATTTTTAGTAGAGACGAGGTTTCACCATGTTGACCAGGATGGTCTCGATCTCTTGATGTCGTGATCCACCCGCCTCGGCCTCCCAAAGTTCTGAGATTACAGGCTTGAGCCACCGTGCCCGGCCGAGTCTGTCTTCTTAAAAATATACGAAAATGGCTACATCCAGACAATGGAATATTATTCAGTGGAAATGAGCTATCAAGCTGTGAGAAAACATGCAAATGCATATTATTAAATGAAAGAAGCCACTCTGAAAAGCAACGTTCCATACGATTCCAACTATGTGACATTCTGGAAAATGCAAAGCTTTGGGGACCAGGGGATGGGGGAGGGAGGGGTTACCAGGTGGAGCACAGAGGATTCTCAGACACTGAAATTACTCTGTATGACACAGCAATGGCAGGTCCATGTCATGGTACATTTGTCAAAATGCACAGAACGCATGACACCAAGAGTCTGTAATGTAGGTGATGGACGTGGGCGATAATGATGTGTGAATATCGTTCCATCGACTGTAGGATGAAACAGGGGCAGGATGCTGAAGTGGGGGAGGTGGTGTGTATGTTGGGAAAGGGAGTCTATGGGACCTCCGTATTTTCTGCTCAAGTTTGCGGCAGACTTTATACTTAAAGTATAAAGTCTGTTTAAATAAATATGTATGTATGTAAGAATGAAAATTGGTGAACAGAGAGGCCTGGGTATATTTTTCTTAGAGGTCCAGCCCATTTGAGTACCAAGATCTGCCAGGAGATTCTTCCTCCACATCTGAAATGGCGTTGCGTCAGTCAGAGGGCACAGCAGCGACTGTTTCCAGTGAGACGCTTATTGAGGCCACCTCACCTTCCTCTGCTTACAGCCCTCTCCGGGCAGCTGCGGGGCCTGCCCACACTCATGTTGCAGGCAGAGAACATTGCCAGGTCAGCAGTATACACCGTCCCCTTAGACACAAGGAGTATTATTTAGTCTAGAAACTCTCAAAGGAAATATCCGCTTGCACGTGAAAAATCTCTGGAATTTCTCTGTTCCTCTCTGTCCAACGTCCTTGTATCTGCAAAACCTCCTTGAAAAGCTCCCGTGCATAAATGCTGCCTTGTTTGGGCCCGAATGCCTCAGGCCTGACCCCAGGGCACTTCTGTCCCAGCCAGTGTCATTCAGAGCGGTTCCTGCTCCTCCAAGACAGACTGTGCCTAGGGTGAAGGAAGGAGGAGGGGTAGGGGGAGAAGAAGGAGGTGGAGGAAAAAGGCGAAGAAGGGAGGAGAAGGAGGTGGGGGGAAGGGGCGAAGAAGGGAGAGGGAGGAGACGGAGGGAGAGGAAGCGGAGGACCCTCTGAAGGTCAGAAGTGAGATGTTTTACATTTTGTTTTTTGAGACTGTCTCACTGTGTCACCCAGGCTGGAGTGCAGTGGTGCAATCTCGGCTCACTGCAACCTCTGTCTCCTGGGTTCAAATGATTCTCATGCCTCAGCCTCCCGAGTAGCTGCGATTACAGGCATGTGTCACCACACCCGGCTAATTTTTATATTTTTAGTAGAGATGGGATTTCATCATGTTGGCCAGGCTGGTCTCTAACTCCGGGCCTCAGGTGGCCTGCCCATTTTGGCTTCCCAAAGTGCTGGGATTACAGGTGTGAGCTCCCACCCCTGGCCTGTTTTACAGTCTTAAGTTCCCAGCCCTTGACTGTTTTAGCCTTGTCACTTCTCAGTCTATAATTTGGCGATGAAGATGTGTTTGGACGTAGAGGACAACAGAAACTATGGGCTTGTTTCCTGACATCCCTGTCTTAGTCTCAGGCTCTTCTTTAAATTGCTTTGCTGTGCATTCCCCCATTTCCTCGTTTCTGGCCTTTCTTCATCCCATTCTAAATGCTCCTTCCTTTCTTGAGCCCCTCTCTCCCTAGAGACAACTGAGGGTGACAGATCTGGAATTTGACAGGATCTTGCTACGTTGCCCAGCTGGCCTCAAACTCCTGGGCTCAAGTGATCCTCCTGCCTCAGAATCTAGAGTAGCTGGGACTTACAGGCACCACCATCACGGCTGGCTCAGATCTGGAGTTTTTGATTAGGCATGCTGGGTTCCAGGGGAGCGTCCAAAGGCCTCACCCAAGCGGACTAGGAAGGTCCATGGCCTTAAGTACCTGTCTTTGCCTTCTCTTTACCATGAAGTCAGGGAAACCTGCTTTTCTGGGTCCCTGGCCGGTCCGTGCTCCTCACTCCCAGCATTGTTTCTCAGGCCGTCTTGTCTCTACCCGGCCCCAGTTTTAGAAGCAAAGACAAAAGCGCACTACCTCCCTGCTCCTTTTATAAATGGCTTTTGTAACTGTCCTTCTCTTCATGCCAGCAGGCTGAGATAAACTGGACTAACACAGAGAAGGAGAAAGGTGGGAAAAAAAATCCACGGGAAAGAGGGTCCCCTTTGGAAAGCAAGTGCTACTGAGGTGCCAGGTGCAAAGGTTGTAAATAGAAAGCTGCTCACACTGCCCTTACGACAGCCGGCATGCCCAGGTCCCAGCTCTTTTCAGAAGATGAACACCGAACTTCCAGATAATTCTGGGGCAGTCACATGAGTTCACCGTAGCAAATGTGACAGCTCGGTGGCCCATTCTGCTTGTACACCTCAAACTTCCAGTTCAGGAGTTTATCTTCCAAGTTACAGGCTAACCCTCTCACTTTCCAAGACATACACAATGACTTTTTCAAAATGTGGTCATACGTGGGAATTTTATGACATCACACCCTCAAAAATGTGAAGCTTTGGTCTTAAGTTACTCAATGGGGCAAATAATAAACCTCTTGATTGGCAGTTACTTTGCTTAAGGGTTTATTTGATTTGATTGTTTTTGAGACAGGGCCTTACTCTGTCGCCCAGGCTGGAGTGCAGTGGTGTGATCACGGCTCACTGCAGCCTTGACCTCCGAGACTCAAGCAATCCTCCCACCTCATTGTCCCAAGTAGCTAGGACTACAGGTGTGCACCACTATACTGGCTAATTAAAAAAAAATTTTTTTGTAGTGACAGAGTCTCACCATGTTGCCCAGGCTAGTCTCTAACTCCTGGGCTCAAGTGATCCTTCTGTCTTGGCCTTCCAAAGAGCAAGGATTACAGGCGTGAGCCCCTGCACCCGGCCAGGGTTCATTTCTGAAACTGACAGGCACATGCTCAGGAGACTGTGTTCATAATCAAGTATTCATAGAGGCCAAGGCTTGGCGCTGCAGTCTCTCCGATCTGGAAATATTTTCCCTTCCAACAGGAACAGAGAGGTTACTTTGGGGTCACTTGCTAGCTCACAAAAGACCTTTTCAAATGAGACGAAAGAAAAGAAGTTCCAATTTGTTGGGAGAACACTCGTGAGCCTCCGGCCTGGCTGTATCTCTGGGCAGGAAGGGTGGTGAGCCCCCATGGCGGGCGGGGTGAGCACCACGGGTTAGTTGGTGGAGGAGGTGCTGGAGGCCCCTGCTTCCTCCAGGTGTCCCTTACACAGACTTTCCAGTCAGGCTGTTGGCTCAGGCGCCGGCCCTTTCCCGTGGCGTGGGCATCAGCTCTCCAGCCCTCTCTGCAGAGCCGGTGCGATGGCTGCCTGCCTGCCTGTGGTTGCCTCGCTGACAACTCCGCCAGTTCAACAGCTCTGTTAATGATCAGGGGAGGGTGACAGCATTTCAGATGCATTTCCTCCTAGAAGCTCAGAGAAAGCTGGGAGCAATTGACCTCCGTGGAACAAACACCTGGGTTCCTAAGTCATGGAAGGCTCTGCCTTTCCTGGGAATGACCCCACTTTCCCATGTTTGTGAGGAGAGCTGATATATGAAGTCAGAGGGGCAGTGGGGTGGAGGGAGACAGCAAAGTGACACTGCATCTGCTCAGCTCCTCAAAGCTCTCGGAGGAATCAGAAGACACAACAGTTCCTTTGAGTTTAAAGAATTTTAGTTCTTCAGTCACTGGAGAAACATTTGCAGAAGCAGCCAGGACGAGTGCCTGGTGTGCAGTGGGCACTCAGTAAATGCTGCAGGGTGGACATGCCTGGCACTGTGCTGGCACCAGGCTGTGGCAGTGGGCGAGAGAGTCAAAAATCCTTGCCAGGCAGAGTTGGCACTGCAGAGGGGGAGGCAGATAAGGAACAAGTAACGTGCTATTTCAGATGGGGACAGAAGCTGGGGGAATAACGTGTGGAAGGACAGGCAAGCAAGCGCCTGGGGAGGGGGCAAGTGAGTCAAGACGAGAAGGAAGGGAGGCAGGGAGCTGTGGGAATGGCCTGGCGAGTGTTCCTGCTGGAGGGAAGGGCACGTGCCTAGATTCTGAGGTGGGTGTGTGTCTGGCATGGATGGGCATCGGCAGGGCGGCCATTGTAGCTGTGCCAAGTGGGTAGAGAGCATGGGTCATGAGGCCAGAGAGGGGGAAGGGAAGAACTTGGCTTAGCGCCTGCTACGGTTTGACTGTGCCCTCTAACATCCGTGTACTGGAAACCTGATCCCTAATATGGAGATGTTGGGAGGTAGGACCCTTCAGAGGTGTTTAATGGATGATGGATTAATGTCATTATCTCAGGAGTGGGTTCCTGATAAAGAAACAAGTTCAGCCTCCTTTTGTCTGTCTTCCTCTCCCACCCACTACTGCCTGTCCGTCTTCTGCCATGGGATGACGCGGTAAGGCGGCCCTTGCCAGATGCTGGCGCCTTGATCTTGGACTTCTCAGCCTTCAGAACTGTGAGAAATAAATTCCTGTTCATTATAAATTACCCGGTCCCACGCATTGTTAGAGCAGCACAAAACAGGCTAAGTTTGGGAAGTCAAAAACTTCCCGAAGAATATTGAAGGGAAAAATAATTTTAAAAGATTATAAAGTGAGGCTGGGTGCAGTGGCTCACACTGTGAGCCCAGCACTTTGGGAGGCCAAGGAGGGCAGACTGGACGAGCCCAGGAGTTTGAGACCAGCCTGGGCAACATGAAAAAACTTCGTCTCAACAAAAAAAAATACAAAAAATGTAGCTGAGGGTGGTGGTGTGCATCTGTAGTTACAGCTAACTTGGGATGCTGTGGTGGGAAGATCACCTGAGCCTGGGAGCTGGAGGCTGCAGAGAGCTGTGATCTCACCACTGCACTCCAGCCTGGGTGACAGAGTGAGACTCTGTCTCAAAAACAAACAAACAAACAAACAAACAAACAAACAAGCAAACATTCTAAGATGATATGACAATGACACTGTTGCTAAGACAGGCTACAGAATTGATGGCAAACAACCTGTGTTTGAGTCAGGACAGGAGCAGACAGGAGCATCTTAGGATGGTGGGTGGCTCACGCCTGTAATCTTAGCACTTTGGAAGCCTGAGGTGGGAGGATCACGAGGTCAGGAGTTTGAGACCAGCCTGGCCAACATGGTGAAACCCCATCTCTACTAAAAATACAAAAATTAGCTGGTCATGGTGGTGGGCACCTGTAGTCCCAGTTACTCAGAAGGCTGGGGTAGGAGAATCGCTAGAACCCGGGAGGCAGAGGTTGCAGTGAGCTGAGACCTCACCACTGCACTCCAGTCAGGGTGACAGACAGAGCGAGACTCCATCTCAAAAAAATAAAAAAAGAAGGAGCATCTTGGGGCTGAGACAGGTTGTGTGAGTTCCTGAGAAAAGCCTGTGAGAGAACTGATCTGTGACTGCAACTGTCCAGTGGGTCCCAGGGACCCTAGCATGTCAACCTTCAAGTGAGGAGAGGTGTTCTGAAATCTCCTATGCAGCTGGACTTAGGATGAGACAGTGAGTCTTCATCCTAGACTGACAACCCCTCCTTCTGGTGAGGCCACAGGGAGAGACAGCTGACCTCTTTATATCTGGGACTGTAGTCCTCTGCGATGTTTATTCTTGTGTTCACATCAGCTGTCTCACTGTTCTCCGGTTGGGGGACCAGAGCACGGGGCGTGGCCATCAAAGTCTGGTCGTCAACAGTGAGGAAGGGAAAGCTTCTTCTTGAATCTGCCTTTGCCTCCAATGCCTAAACAATCTCCTACTCCAGATTCTTTCTCACAGATTCTACTCCAGATTCTTTCTCTCCACAGCACTTTTCAGATTTTCTTGGGCAAAATCATCACAGCCTATGATGCCCACGATTATTTTGAGATCCAAGCCAAATCACCCTCACTTAGCCTCGTCCTGACTTACTGTGCTCAGGTGGGGAAATTGCTGCCAGAGCAGAGATAGTGGCTGCAGACTTTGACTGCACACTTTCTTGCTGCTGCTACCCTATGGCAACAGCTCAGGACTTGGACAAACAGGTCAGTGACACTCCAGCCCTTTGCTGCTCTGAGACACTGGGAGCTGGGCCCCTGGCACTGTTGTGGGGTGCTGCCCTTCCCTTCTGCCCTGAGCCTCCCCAGGAACCTCGTGAACTCAGAGATGGTCACCCCATGAATGTGTGTTCTTCCTATGAGGGTTCTGAGCACCTGTGACTTGTTTTTGTTTTCATCAGTGTGGGAAGCTCCTGAAAGGACACTCTGGCCTGTGGGACATCATTACCTTTGGAGGTGGCTTCCATGGCACTCTGAGTCACTCTCACACCACACATGTGGAGCCATCCTGGGATAAATAATTCTTAAAACTCTGTTTCCTGGCAGCATGAAGCTTGTGGTGTGAGGGGGTGTCCAGGAGCGAGGTGCTACAATACCAAGGTAGCAGTCTGAGGGATGAACCGCTGTGCCAGGCGAAGCTTGGATGTGACATCGTGTCCAGGCTGCAGCCCGTGTTGGGTCTGCTTCTACAGAGAGAGGAGCCGGGCCCCAGAAAATGCTAGGGAGAGTGGCTGACCTGGGGGAGCTGGGAGAAGGTTGCCCTGGAAGTCGTGACAAATGCTGGTCAGATTCTAGTGGGAATGCTGTCTGCTGACTCCTTTGCCGAAACCCCAGCTGTGCTGGGAACTGACCTCATTCATGAAGTAAACACTGAATCAGATACCAGCAGGCCTAACCCTGGCTGAGTGGAAATAACATGGACGTTTCCACAATTACGAAGCTGCCAGTTGGAGTTGGCAAGAGAATCTCCAAATATGTCAATCGGAATGAGTTCATTACCTCCTCTTGCCAACTTAATCAGAAGCCAATTGCCTTGTTGCGGTTGAAATTATTTGTATGAAAATGCTTTACTTACATTTTAGCTTTTATATTCCAAATAATGTACTGGAAAGCAGCGTAGTCTAGCAACTGGAAGACAATATTGGGAATCCGTCGATTGGCGCCCAGTCCTGGCTACATCTGCAGCTCACTGTGCCAGCAGTAACCGCACTCAGCCTTGTAATCCTGTTACTGGGAGGCAGGGGCTGGGCAGCCAGGTCCTGTCTCATGACACAATCTTACTGAGAATCTGGAGGCCTGGTGTTTGTGTGTTCTGCCTCGTGGCCACAGACACTCACTGCAGGTTCACACGGTCCACTTGGGATTACTCAGAGGCTGTGCACCCCAGTTACAGGTTCTTCAGGCTCTGGGCTTCCCTTCCCTCCTCACTCTCTCCTTTGCACATGGTTCTTTCAGGAGATGAAAAAGCTGTTTGTTACACCTTAGTAGTTGAGACCACTGTCTGCAATGCAGCTTCACAGTTTGGGGGAGAAATCATTTCCAGTTATTCCTTTCTTATCCTCATTTATTTATAGAAGCAGCAGAACATTACCATTCAGAGCCTGAACCATGGAGTCAGACTGCCTGAGTTCAAACCCCAGCTCTGCCCTTTGTAAGAGGGGTGCCCTGTCTACAGCCACACTGCCCTGAGTGCCCCGGGCCTTGTCTGATCCTGGGTGATCTGAAGGGGGTTACTTAGTCTCTCTCCTGTGCCTCCATCTCCTCACCTATAAAAGATGGAGTGAAGCACTGAGAACATGATGAGGGCTCATAAGGATTGGCCAGCCTTTGTATTAGCCTATTTGTGCTCTAACAAAATACCACAGACTGGGTCATTTATAAACACAAGAAGTTCATTTCTCAGAGCTCTGGGCCAGTCCAAGCTCAAAGTGCCAGCATTTGGTGTCTGGTGACTTTGAGCTTGGACTGGCCTTCTTGCTGTGTCCTCAGGTGGCAGAAAGTGGGAGGGCGAGGGGACTGAACTCGCTCCCTCAGGCTTTTATAAAAGCCCCACCTCTCAATACCATCGCCATGGGGCTCAGCTTCAACCTGAGTCATGGAGTGGATACCAACATTCAAATTACAGTAGCCTTGGCTGGGTGGTGGCTCATACCTGTAATCCTAGTACTTTAGGAGGCCGAGGTGGGTAGATCTTCTGAGGTCAAGAGTTGGAGACAAGCCTGGCCAACATGGCAAAACACCATCTCTGCTAAAAATACAAAAATTAGCATGGTGGCATGTACCTGTAATCCCAGCTACTCAGGAGGCTGAGGCAGGAGAATCACTTGAACCCAGGAGTCAGAGGTTGCGGTGAGCCGAGATCACGTCACTGCACTCCAGCCTGGGCGACAGAGCGAGATTCCATCTCAAAAACAAAAACAAAAATTAGCTAGGCATGGTGGCATGTGACTGTAATCACAGCTACTTGGGAGGCTGAGGCAGAAGAATTGTTTGAACCTAGGAGGCGAGGTTGCAGTGAGCCAAGATGGCACTGCTGCACTTCAGCCTGGGAGACAGAGCTAGAGTCCATCTCAAAAAACAACCAACCAACCAACCAACCAAATAAACCATGGCAGCTTTTATTATCATTTACTTTTACACACACACACACATATATATATATACACACACACACATACACATTTTTTTTTTGAGACAGGATCTTGCTCTGTTGCCCAGGCTGAAATGCAGTGATGTGAACATGGCTCACTGCAGCCCTGACCTCCCAGGCTCAAGCAATCCTCCTGCCTCAGCCTCCCATGTAGTTGGGACCACAGGAGCATGCCAGCATGTCCAGCTAATTTTTAAATTTTATGTAGAGACAGGATCTTGCCATATTGCCCAAGCTGGTCTCAAACTCCTGGGCTCAAGCAACCCTCCTGCCCCAGCCTCCCAGAGTGCTGGGATTACAGGTGTGAGCCACTGTGCCGGGACTATTATCATGATTACTATTATTATTAGTCTGGATAAACAAGAACAGACGGTACGGAATAGCCACTTGTACATTGTGTACTGAGAAATTTACAAGGTTTACACCTTATTGTAAATCAATAACTACATTCCAGGCAGGGTGGTAAGAAGCCACGTCACCAGAGTTATGACAGACTCCCTGTGTCACTTAAATCAGTTACCTAATTTCTCTTAGTCTTTTATCTGTTACATGGGGTTAATATTTACCGCTCCTTCCTTAAAGTCTTGTCTGATTTTGATGTTGAAGTAACTCAAAGAAACACGACATCACGTGCTATCATTTCACTTGGAGATGATACTGCTGATGTGTATTTTCTTTATGAAGCTCAGGGCTGGAGAGAATGACGCATAACCAGAGGTCCCTCTGGCAGGGCCATGGACGCTGTTTCTTCAGCTCCTGACTTGAGCAGCTGCCATGTGTCAGTCTCATGAAGCCCTTTTTTCCCCAAACTAAGCATTTTCCCTGTTTCCTTTCAATGCTGCCATAGCTATGAATGAACTCTGGCCCTCTGTCCATGCCTGGAGGGGAGGTGGCCTTCCCACCTTGCTCCTTCCTGATATGAAAGAAAACGGAACCAGGGCAACAGAACCAACAAGCCCTGGCAGGGAGTGCTGAGCGCTTTCGACATCTCAGGGTGCTTTGAGGAATCGCGGGGAACTGAGGAGGCCAGAACCATAAACAGACAACCACAGCAGCCTTGATTATCATTATTACTATTGTGTATATATATATATATATATATATATATATATATATATATTTTTTTTTTTTTTTTGAGATGGAGCCTCACTCTGTCACCAGGCTGGACTGCAGTGGCACGATCTCGGCTCACTGCAACCTCCACCTCCCAGGTTCAAGTGATTCTCTTGCCTCAGCCTCCTGAGTTGCTGGGACTAAAGGCACACACCACCATGCCCAGCTATTTTTTGCATTTTTAGTAGAGATGGGGTTTCACCATGAGGGCCAGGAGGGTCTTCATCTCTTGACCCTGTGATCTCCCCACCCCAGCCTCCCAAAGTGCTAGGATTACAGGCGTGAGCCACTGCACCTGGCCAAAACCCTATTTTTTTTTTTTTTTTTAATGTGTGAATTGGATAAACTGAAGGCTGTTGAGCTTCAGGAATTCTGGGGCAAAAAATCAAACAGATGGTTGACCAGCACATAGGAAGGGCGGTACCAGAGGTCAATGTCCATGACAGAGGGCTTCGTGTTTGTCCTACTAAATCAGAAAATGGGGTGAACACTTCGTGATAGTGCCATGACTTTTGACAACAATTTGACCGTTTCTCATGACATTCTTTTTTTTTTTTAATTCGGTAGGTGAGTTATTACACACTCCTTAGCGGATTCCGACTTCCATGGCCACCGTCCTGCTTCTCATGAAAGTCTTATGGACAGAATAGTGAGAAAAAGGCTGCTGGAGCTCAAAAGTACAGCTCAGTGAAAGACGACAGCACTTGCTCAGGGCCAAGTAGCTAATCAGGGCCAGGGGTGGAGTCTATGTCCCAGGTGAAGGTTCCTAAGATGGCTGTGACTCCCAGGCATGGTGAGGTTGAACTGTAACAGCGATGGGACAGTGTCGCCCCAAGGCATTCTCCAGCGGAATGCCGAGCAGTTCTGTCCTTAGTTCTCCACTCATTAACACTCTGTCAACAACTTGGATAAGTCCAAAGATAACTGCTTATCAACTGTGCAAATAACATGAGACTGGGAAGGAAGGCCAACCCGCTGGGACTGCAGAGTCAGGGTCCAAAATTATCTCAACAGGAAGGAATGATTGGTTGAATCCAACAAGATAAAATTTAACTGGAAAACATGTTAGATTTTGCCTTGAATTCCAAAACTCAACTGCAAAAGTATAGGATGTGGTTGGAAAACATGTCCAATCTCACCCATAATCAAAGAAATGCAAATTAAAGCAATCATGAGATAACCATTTCCCCTTATCAGATTGGCAATGATTAAAAGAATGAAAATTCCCCATGTTGGTGGGTAGGGTGTGGGGGAAACAGGCTCTCTTGTAAATTGCTGGCGGGTGTACAAGCAAAAGCCACTCCTTTGGAAGAAATATATAGCACAAACTATAAAATGCACCATTTGTCCCAGAAGTTTCATTTATAGAAATGTATCCAAAGGCAAATATGAAAAGATTTATGTACAAGAATATTCATAAAAGCATCATTAAGAAAAGTAAGAAAACACCTTTTTGGCGGGGCAGGGGGAGGTGTTCAGTTTGTGAACAGAAGACTTGGAGGTCTCAAGGGTAGCCCAGAGCCCAGGGTCATTGCCAAATATTTAATGCCATAAAGAGGAGGCACTGGGTTTGTGTAGCTCCTGAAGGCCAGACCAGGACTTAACAAGAGATGGATTTGGCCTCATGTTACAAAGCAGATTCTAACAATTAATTCTGTCCAAAATTAGGATAGGCTGTCTGCTGCATTCCCAATCACTGGCAGATGGCCCTGTCAAGGGTGTGGAGGAGGACAGTCAGAGTTCTTTAGCCATTGGGATAAAATGCTTGTCTTGGTTCCTTCCAAGACAAAGAGCAGTCATTGTTGCATTAAACCATCAGAAGGCACTGTCATAAGCTGGGTGTGGTGACATGTGCCTGTAGTCCCAGCTATGGGCTGAGGTGGGGGAATCACTTGAGCCTAGGAGTTTGAGGCTGCAGTGAGCTATAACTGCTCCTGTGAATAGCCACTGCACCCAGCCTGGGTGACAGACCACAGCTCTTGGGGAAAAAAAAAAAAAAGAAGCCAGGCACATTGGCTCATTCCTATAATCCCAGTACTTTGGGAGGCCAAGGCAGGATTGCTTGAGCCCAGGAGGTCGAGACCAGCCAGGGCAACATAGTGAGACCACATCTCTACAAGAAATAAAAAATTCAGCCAGGGGTGGTGGTGCATATGAGTAGTCCCAGCTACTAGGGAGGCTGAGGTGGGAGGATCACTTGAGCCCAGGAGGCCCAGGCTGCAGTGAGCTGCAGCTGCACCACTGCACTCCAGCCTGGGTGATGGAGCAAGACTCTGTCTCAAAAGAAAAAAGAAACGGTAGAGTCACCAGTCAAGTTGAAGGGAGCTGGGAGCTCACATCAGGTTCCACTTCTGGACACTGAGTTCCAGGAATGAAATGAGGAAGCTTCCCACTGCCCAGCAGTACTCTCACCGAGAGCCTGTAGGAGGTGACCTCACATCCCTCACCCATACTCTGAATCTTTTAGGAGTAGCTCTGTGCATCAGCACCCTGACAGTAGACTTAAGGAGTGCTTTCAGCTGAATCTGAAGAAAGGAAAGAAAAGATGAATGCTCCTTCTCTCAGATCGTTTCCACTGTCTTTGGGCTTCTGGAAGGTGACACATGGGGTCAGTGCCTCCCTGCTCCAGCATCCTTCCTCTTTTGCATGAGTCTCAGCTAAAACCTTCTGGGACAATGAGCAATCACATCTGTTCAAACCACCTTTATCCAGCGCCACCAAATACAGACTCTTTGGTACTTTTGGATGCTTATTCTAGTGTTCTCCTTATCACTTATTAAGTCCTTCCTGGCCTCTTTTCCATTCAATCCTCCCATCAACCATGCCAGGTGGCCATTATGAAAAGTATTAACCAGTAACCCTTTACAGTCCTTACTAGGAGACACCATGCACTGTGTCACAGAGTCCTCACCATGACACTAGCTCTGGAGCTAAGGGGAGCCTCTCTCCAACCCATCTGTGGCCAGAGTAATCTTGCCATTAGAGCAGGGGTCCCAAACCCCAGGGACACAGGCCGGTAGCAGTCCATAGCCTGTTAGAAACTGGGCCACACAGCAGGAGGTGAGTGTTATCACCTGAGCTCTGCCTCATGTCAGATCAGCAATAGCATTAGATTCTCCTAGGAGCATGAATTCTATTGTGAACTGTGCATACCAGGGATCTAGGTTGCGCACTCCTTATGAGAATCTAATGCCTGATGATCTGAGGTGGACCAGTTTCATTCTGAAACCAACCTCCCGGGCCCTGGTCCATGGAAGAACTGTCTTCTATGAACCCGGTTCCTGGTGCCAAAAAGGTCAGGGACCGCTGCATTACATGACTGTTACCACATCACTCCCAACAACAGTTCTGGGTGGCTTCCAAGATCTTACATGGGTGGCTCCTCACCCTCAACTCCCAGTGTAACTCCCACCAAGATCCCTCACTCTGCGCTCAAGCCACATGGGCCTTCTACTGCCTCTAACTTAACACAGTGCTTCCAGCCACAGGATTTCAATACCTCTGCTTCTCTTCCTGAAAGGTTCCTCTGGTTCCATGGCTCCTTTCTATGCATCTTTTGGATTTTAAACGTTATGGGCTGAACCCTAGCCCCCAGCACTTCAGAAAGTGTCTGTATTTGGCCTTTAACAAGGTAATTACATTCAAATGAGGTCATTGGAGTGAGCTCTAATCCAGTCTGACTAATGTCCTTATAAGAGCTTAGAACACTGGGCTGGGTGCTGTGGCTCATGCCTGTAATCCCAGCACTTTCCGAGGCTCAGGCAGGTGGATCGCCTAAGGTCAGGAGTTCGAGACCAGCCTGGCCAACATGGTGAAAACCCGTCTCTACTAAAAATACAAAAATTAGCCAGGTTTGGTGGTGGACGCCTATAATTCCAGCTACTTGGGAGGCTGAGGCAGGAGAATCACTTAAACATGGGAGGTGGAGGTTACAGTGAGCTGAGATCCCACCACTGCACTCTAGCCTGGGCAACACAGTCAGACTCCATCACCAAAAAGAAAAAAAGAGATTAGGAGGTGAGCATTATCACCTGAGCTCCACCTCCTGTCATATCGGCAAAAAGCATTAGATTAGATTCTCCTAGGAGCACAAACCCTACCGTGAATTGTGCATACCAGGGATCTAGGTTGTATACTCCTTATGAGATTAATGCCTGATGATCTGAGGTAGACCAGTTTCATCCTGAAACCAACCTCCCTGGCTCCGGTCTGTGGAAGAACTGAACCTGATCCCTGGTGCTTTTAGTAGAGATGGGGTTTCACCACATTGGCCAGGGTGGTCTTGAACTCCTGACCTAAGGTGATCCACCTGCCTCAACTTCCCAAAGAATTCAGCACTTTGAGAGGCCAAACTGGGTGAACCACCTGAGACCAGGAGTTCAAGACCAGCCTGGCCAACATAGCAAAACCCCATCTCTACTAAAAATACAAAAATTAGCTGGGTGTGGTGGTGCATGCCTGTAGTCCCAGCTACTTGGGAGGCTGAGGTAGGAGAATCACTTGAATCCGGGAGGTAGAGGTTGCAGTGAGCAGAAATCATGCCACTGCACTCCAGCTTGGGCCGCAGAGCAAGACTCTGTCTCAAAAAAAAAGAAAGAAAAAAAAAAAGAATCAGCTAAATGGTAAAGACAGCCTGGAACCCAAGCCTCTAAAGCTCTGGCTCCTAACCATGCCTTAACCCTAGGATTCTGCAATGCACCCATTCTACCCACAGACCTTTACTGAGCACCTAACATGTGCCATGCATTCTGTCTCAGAATTGGGGATGGAGCAATGATGAAACAAATTTCTGTCTTCATGTGGAGAGGGACATCAAATGAGATGAAGAACTCAATTCAATGGTTTATTAGAAGGTGATAAACTAAATGCAATGGAGCAAAAGGGAAGGGAATGGGAATGTGGGAATGCAGGCTTGCCAGAGTCTGATTTGCAATTTCAAACCAGGAGGCTGATGAAGGCCTTTGTCAGTGGGGAACATCTGAGCCAAGTCTTAGAGGAAGTAAGGGAGGGAGTCCTGGGGATAAATGAGGACACGTTCCATGCAGAGGTAAAGGCAACTTCAGAGTCCCAGAGGTAGAAGCAAGCTTGGCAAAATGGCTAATGTGGCTGGTGTTAAGTGAGCAAGGGAGACAAGAATGGAGAGCTCTAGAATAGAGGCCTGGTGGTGTGGGACAGTTCTAGCCCTGGTAAAGCTTTGGCTTTTACTCTGATACAGGAGGACTGGTAGTTTTTGCACAGAGGAGCCACATGATATAACTTTTAACAGAATTACCGAGGTTGTTATGTAAACATAAACTTAACAGAGTAGGGGTGGAAGAAGGGGAACCAGTTGGGCAATTACAGTAATCCAGGTGAGAGATGGGGGCTTGCTTGAAGATGGTGTCAGTGGAGACTGGATTCTGGCGAAAAAAGAAAAGCCAATAGGATCTGCTGACAGATTTGACATGGGATGAAGAACTCAAAGTTTACAGCCTGAGAAGCCAGAAGGATTTTTCTGAGATGAGGATGAGTGCTAGGCTGGAGCTATACAGATGGGAGTCATCAGCACACAGATAGTCTTTAAAGCCATGAAATCCGATGAAATCATCAAGAGATTAAGTGAAAAGAAAGAGAAGTCGAAGGAACCAGTGCTGGGGGCACTGCTACATTTAGAGGTAAGAAAAAGAGGAGAGGCTAGCAAAAGAAACAGAAGAGGAGGGGCAGGGATGGAGGGAAAAACAAGTGTGTGTACTCCCAAAAGCCAAGTGAAGAAAATTTTGCGCAGGAGAGGGTGATAAACCGTATCAAAAATCGCTGACAGAGCAGGTGAGATGAGGACTGGGGAGAGACTGAGTTTGCCTGGAGGGAGTTCAACACTGAGTGGGAGGAGAGGGCTGGACAAAGAATATACACACTCTTCCAGGCAGTTACGATATTCAGAAAGCGAGGGGATGAGGTGGGAGCTGAAGCCACGAAAGGGTTCTCAGGAAGGTGGAAATCACATGTTTATATGCCGATGGGAAAGATCCCTTCGAGAAGAAATTAAGGCTCAAAAGGTCAGGTTATCATGACACTAGTCTGGTCCAAACTCTTTCCCACCACTAAGCTACTGAAGTGATATATTTAAGTCTTCCCAGGCCTCCTGCTTTACATGAAATCCGATTAGGGCAGTTTGCATTTTTACTTTAATGGAGCCGTTTGATATTTAGTACCTTCGGTCAAGTCGCCCCTCAAATTGGTTTTTGGGCTCTGCGTTTCGACAGGACCTCCTGCGCGCTTTCGAAACGTCATCCTTGTCACCTGACCGGTTCTCCTCCTATCCCACCTCGGTGGCGGGACTCGGCGCATCGTCTCTACAGCAACGCCTTAGCTAGATGGTGCTCGGGGTTTCGGGACTGCGTGTGGCGCTCTCAGATGACGTCACACACACGCGGCGCTTGCGTGACGTAAGCCCTGCTCCGTCAGAAGGCTCCGCACAGGTCGGCAGGTATGAAAAGGAGCACGACCTTGCACACTGCGCATGCACCAACTTGGGTGCCCCTGGCTGCTGCCGGGAGTTGAGTTTGAGGTCTGCTCCCTCTGGCTGTTGTGCCTTTAACCTGAACCAGAGAAATCCTCCGCGGTGCTGCAGCTTCCGGCTGGCTTTCTCGAAGCCACCTTGCGGGCAGATATCCGAGAATCACAGTTCATTCTCATCTTGCCCATCTCTTATCTCTGCTGGCAAGTTCGTCGTTGCATCCCTGTCTGAAAGTGCTTGTCGAACTCCCAGTTTGCTGTTGTCCGCAAGCTTCCCCCAGCGGGTCATCTCCCTTCGAAACCCAATCTTGTGTCCTGGAACAATTGCACAGGTGTGTGTAAGGGCAACCGGGCTACAGCTGAAGACCTGAGAATTTCTGCTGTGAACTAAGTACTTGAACTTTTACGTGCTAGGACCTGTTACTTCTGTTGACTGCTTGTGGTTTTTTCTGTCTTCTTTCACATTTTTTTTTTTTTTTGAGACAGAGTTTCACTCTTGTTACCCAGGCTGGAGTGCAATGGCGCGATCTCGGCTCACCGCAACCTCCGCCTCCTGGGTTCAGGCAATTCTCCTGCCTCAGCCTCCCGAGTAGCTGGGATTACAGGCACGCGCCACCATGCACAGCTCATTTTTTTGTATTTTTAGTAGAGACGGGGTTTCACCATGTTGACCAGGATGGTCTCGATTTCTTGACCTCGTGATCCACCCGCCTCGGCCTCCCAAAGTGCCGGGATTACAGGCTTGAGCCACCGCGCCTGGCCTTCTTTCACATTTTTAGTCAGGATCCAAACAGTTGGCCTTGCTAAGTAAATGACCTGCAGAAAAATGAAGTATCTGCTGGATGCGGTGGCTCACATCTGCAATCCCAGCACTTTGGGAGGCCGAGTTGGGAGGATCACTTGAGGCCAGGAGTTCGAGGCCAGCCTAGTCAACATGGTGAAACCCCTGTCTCTACGAAAAATACAAAAATTAGCCGGGTGTGGTGGTGCACGCCTGAAATCTCAGCTACTCTGGAGGCTGAGGCGGGGGAATAACTTGAATCCTGGAGGTGGAGGTTCCTGTGAGCTGAGTTAGCACCTCTGCACTCTGGCCTGGGTGACAGAGTCTGGCTCAAAAGAAACAAAAACAACAACAACAAAGAAAAATAAAGTCTCACTCTTCTAAGACTTAGAATTCCTTTACGTATTCATTCGCTGACATTGATTAAGCACCCATTCTTTCCTGGATACCGTGCTGAGCCTGAGGGCTACAGTGAGTATGACATCTGTCTCTGCCATCATAGCTCAATTAGGTGATTAATTCAAGAAACACTGAATTCCAGCTGTTTGCTAGGTACAGTTCAGATTATGAATGCACATTTAAAGAACGAAGTGTGATCTAAGGTCTAGCATGAGGCCGGGCTTTGGTTTGAATTGAACCTGCCCCTGCTTCTTATGTGCTGTATACACTGGGGTGACTTCAGCATCTGTGTGCACATCCATTTCATGATTCATAAAAATGGGCATAATAGTGCCTACTTCCTGAGGGTACCATGAGAGCTAAACCTCATGCTATGGTTTGGGGAGCCTTTTGTTTCTACTTCCGTATGTTTCTTCCCTTCAGAAAAATGAAAAACCCTGTTTTCTCCTTACACAGAGAACACCACCACTAATGGGAAAGCTACCCCCAGTCAGCATATGGCCCCAGCAGTCATCCACTGATGCTCCTTGAATTGTTTGAAAGCCAGCTTTTTTTCTGGGTGTGGTGGCTCATGCCTGTAATCCCAGCACTTTGGGAGGCCAAGGCGGGTGGATCATGAAGTCAAGAGACTGAGACCATCCTGGCCAACATGGTGAAACCTCATCTCTACTAAAAATACAAAAATTAGCTGGGCATGATGGCACGTGTCTGTAGTCCCAGCTACTCAGGAGGCCAAGGCAGGAGAATCACTTGAACTTGGGAGGTGTAGGTTGCAGTGAGCCGAGATTGTGCCACTGCACTCCATCCTGGGCAACAGAGTGAGACTCAGTCTCAAAAACAAAACAAAACAAACAAAAACAGCTTTTTGGCTGGGTGTGGTGTCTCATGCCTAAAATCCCAGTACTTTGGGAGGCCAGAGTGAGCGGATCACCTGAGGTCAGGAGTTTGAGACCAGTCTGGCCAACATGGTGAAACCCGTCTCTATTAAAAATACAAAAAAATTATCTGAGCATGGTGGTGGGCACCTGTAATCCCAGCTATTTGGGAGGCTGAGGTAGGAGAATTGCTTGAACCTGGGAGGTGGAGGTTGCAGTGAGCTAAGATCACGCCAATGCACTCCAGCCTGGGTGGCAGAGCAAGACTCTGTCTCAAAAAACAAAACAAAACAAAACAAAAAACCCCAAAACAGCTTTTGTCCAGTGGCTGCTTTTTGTGAGTCTGTATGCTGAGGCCAAGTTATATGTAAGCAGAGACTTCCCACCTCACCTTCCAACAGTGCCTCTAAACTATCACCATCTGAAAATAAAAGAAATTCCTTTCTTCAAATGCGTGGTGACCTGAAGCTAGCTAAGGGCCGGGGACTGGTAGGCGGCCCGGGAGGCGGAGTCGGACCCCAGGTTACTGTCTGAGGAGGGACGACACGCTGTAAGGGCTGGGGAGCCAGTGTCTGGCTTCCCTGTCACCGCAAGCCCTGTGGTTTCTAGCTCTGTCTGCTCCAAGTCCCACTAAGCAGCAGCAGAAGAGAAAACAGACATGCACACAGGCGGACGCACACATGCACACCGGCCCCCAGACGTGCACAGCCCTCAGAGGAAGTGGAGCACCAGATGTTCTGGGTTTCCTGTTCGACGCTTCCACAGCTGGTGGAGTCTGTGGTTGTGGTTTGTCTGTCTCGGGCTCATGTGAGAGACAAAAGCTGGGCTGACGGGAAACCTTTTCTCCTGGCCCCCACTCCCCAGCTCTGACTGATCAGGAACCCTGGCAGGTCAGAAATTTCCGGAAACACCCAGAGCTGGGTTCTCCCAAGAAGAGGCTGAATCCCTGACTCTCATCCCTGAGGAGCAGCCCTGGGCTGATAATCAGGCCTTCCAGAACCTGGGCGATGGAAACCTCTACAAATATCCCATTAAGAAAGCCCACCAGCCCTGCTGAGCAGAATGAAGTGGAGGCCGGGTTGCTACGGTCTCTACTCTGAGGCTTGGCATCGAGCTGCCTCTGAAAAACACTCAGCACATGAAGGAATGTATGAGGAACAGAGAACTTCACCTTTGGGGGCTGGGTGTAAAAGCCCTAGCTGGGCCTCAAGTCCCATAAATAGCTTTGGATTCCAACAGACATCTGATGCTGCGAGGTGCTGCTGACTTGCTGTGACCTGGAGCAGGTCATGCAGCCTCTCTGGGCCCGGCGTCTTCATCTGCAAAATGGAGATGATAATATCTACTTCACAAAGGTGTGGAGGCCCAGTGAGACACCGCACACGGATTTCCTTGACACTGTTTCCCCATTGTAACTGCTCCAGAGAGGCGGGGCTCCCTCTTCTCGCAACACTGCGGTTTATTTCAGGAGATGAACTGAAAGGCAAGCAAGATAAAACAAGCAACAACTGAAACACGGATCCCGGGACAGCTGCCCGGCGGGACAGCAGAGCAAGAGTCCCGGCACCTGTGCTGCTGCTCTTTGTGGGGGGATGTTGGGGGAAGGGGCTGGAAACATCCCAGGGTCTCTAGGCTCTGGAAGGGAGCACCCCGTATCCTCCTCTGGGTGTGGAATAAGGTGAGTGTCTTCGGGGTGGAGGGAGAACAGGCAGAGTGCGCCCTCCCCCCTTTGCTCTGCAGTGATCTTAATGATTAAGGCTACTGTTCAGTCTGCATTTGGATCTGAGCAACAGGGACCCCTGCCCAGAGGGCCGTCCTTCAGCAAGCTGCACCCCGGCCTCCTCCACTACAGCCCTCTCTATGACATGAAGCATCTGCCGCTGACTGTAGCTATGAGGGCCACTGCCCCTGCAATATGATCGACTAGGTTCAAGTATTGACTCTGAGACTTAGAAGCTGTGCCACCTTGGGGCGAGATACTTCATCTCTCTGTGCCTCACTTTCTTCCTTTATAAAATGGGTAAAACAATAATCACACAATCGGTTATTTATGAAGATTAAATGAGTTAATAATATATGAAAAGCACTTAGCATGGCTACTGGCTCAAGGTTCAGCCAATGTTAACTGTTGCGCACGTGATGTGTTTGATTCTTACAATGTCCCTATAGGTAGGTTCTGTTGTTAGCTCTGTTTTACATGTGAGAAAACTGAGGCATAGGAAATAAAGTAACATTTGCAAGGTCACATCGATAAGTAGCAAGGCTGAGGCTTTACTCCAATTCTTTTCTTTTTTTTTTTTCTGTCACCCAGGCTGGAGTGCAGTGGTGAAATCTCCGCTCACTGCAACCTCTGCCTCCTGGGCTCAAGCGATTCTGCCTCAGCCTCCTGAGTAGCTGAGATTACAGAGGTGCAACACCATGCCCGGCTAATTTTTGTATTTTTAGTAGAGACGGGGTTTCACCATGTTGGCCAGGCTGGTCTCAAACTCCCGACTTCAGGCAATCCACCTGCCTTGACCTCCTGAAGTGCTGGGATTATAGGCGTGAGCCACCATGCCCAGCCTCCAGTTCTTTTTTTTTTTGAGACAGAATTTCGCTGTTGTTACCCAGGCTGGAGTGCAATGGCACGATCTCAGCTCACTGCAACCTCCGCCTTCTGGGTTCAAGCAATTCTCCTGCCTCAGCCTCCCGAGTAGCTGGGACTACAGGTGCGCACCATCATGCCCAGCTAATTTTTTTTTTTTTTTTTGTATTTTTAGTAGAGACGGGGTTTCACCTTGTTGACCAGGATGGTCTCGATCTCTTGACCTTGTGATCCACCCGCCTCGGCCTCCCAAAGTGCTGGGATTATAGGCGTGAGCCACTGCGTC